TCAACTATTTTTTTCTCTCACATTAGACTTCCATCTACTGTGATCCTGCACACCCCATGACCCATTATGTATCATCGACAATTTCTTTGTCCCTTTGTTGGAGCATCATCATAGGTCTCCCCGATTTGTTTATAGCAGCCGGAGTATCGGCGCTTCTCTTGACACGCCGCGACATGTACATCGATTTCTACGAAGAGCTATCTTTTCGCGGGCTCTTCCTAGAAAAAAATTTGAACGTCATCGCGCTCCTTTGCAAACATGTCGCTACATGTTTGATTGCAACAATGAAATTCCTAGAAAAAAGGGGGATGGAGAGGAAGGAGGGGGAGGGGAAATTAACGATTTGCCATGTCAAAAATTTACGCGATCAGTCCTCCATCGAATGATCTGCACGACAAAAAAGATACTCCGCTTCTTCATCATTCGAACAACACGCAATATATTCCGCCAAAGGAAGCAGCGCACCGTACATAGCGAAAAACAAAAGAAGGAATGTAACGCGTAAGTTTCAACTGCATTTTTTTTAATTTTTTCTTTTTTTCCAATATTGTGCAATATTATATATTTTAATTTCCACAGTATTTCGGTGGAGCGTCGCGCGGTGCGCTTACTGAGCAGACGTTACACTCTGACGGTCACGGGTTACAAATTTCTGGAAATTGGAATCAACGTTGGTCCACCGAGTTACGTGGAGATAGCTCTGGGAGATCATCGGGGACAGAAATTGATACTGTCTCTCGAAGCGTGGAAGGGATTCTACGAGCAGCGATGGAATATCTACAAATTGCTGCGAAACGATTACAAAGATAATTTTATAAGCGTCGGACCGTTAATCGTCAGAGTTTACCAGATGAACGATGTTACACTCGTACGTCTTGAATCTTTGAACGTACGCGTAACGATGATCGACCCTGCGCCATATGTTTGATCTGGACGAATGTATCGATGTGACGTTCGATCGACTCGTCAGATTCGTCGATACGATACCAAGTATATGCGATTCTCCAACATCGCGTCTGTTGTAACAGATCCCGAGAAAGTGCCGAACGCGATACACGATTGCGATACCTTCGATAGACGTCAACTCGTCGATTGCGAGCTGTTAGCTTTAGTTTTTAGTGTATAAGAAAAATGTGAATAAAAAAAATTTCACACTTAAATGTATTCAATTTGTTTAAAAATATAAACATATATAATATGCAAAAAACATGTATTTCTTTCATTTCTTTCTTCCCCACCATAAAATAATTAGAAAAATAACATTCGCCATAAGAGAGAGAGAACCGCAACGGAAGAGATAATAAGTATACGAGAGAGATATTTATTTTTTATTCGGCGGGCGCGGCGGTAGCGGCGGGCGCGGCGGTAGCGACGGTGGTGTCGGGCGCCCCCCCCCCCTGAGTCATGTCACGCGCCCTGTCCACGCGCAAAGCATTTTTTTTATACATCTCCGCCGCCCGTTTTGTTTATATCGCCTTGCTATCTTATCCTATTTGGATTTATCTCACC